GCCCTCAATTTTTTTTAGTGGAACATGGGGGGCCTTGAAAAGTCAAAAGGAGGATTGGGAGGATTCTTTAAATGATTAAAGGGGGATACCCATAAAAACATGGATGCTATTAGGTAAGGGTCTGGAAATTTTTTGGCAGACAGACAGACAAACGGACTGTTTGTACCCAAACTAGACCACAATGCATCCTTGTTATCTAACTCAGAAATGGACTTTAAATATTTCCCTTAGGGTGAAATAAATCGTCATGCTTACTGTGGTAGTAGGGAGGTCTGAAGGTGTCATCTGCCACGCCCCATCGAGGAGGGAAAATTACAAAGTCAGCGATGGCTGTACCAGGTTTGTTGCTTTGACACGTGAGAACTGTGAATACCGAAGGATCCTAGAATTGACATTAAATACATAACAATTAGACATGAAGCTTGAATGGTCTATGAATCAATGTCCCATGACAGGGCTTAAATAACGACAGGGCTCAGACAATGTCTGCTTAGAATTGTAACTTGTTGGGCAAATCTTTGCCTTGCTGGTCATTTTGACCAGTAACTTAAAGCCAGAAATGAGGCAAGACTAAGCTAAAGGGGTAAAGAAGCTTTGAGAATATTCTTACCACATGGTCCTTTGATACTGTGTTGATGGTGATAAAGTCGGCCAGGTTGTACTTGTACGGTGCATAGTTACCGTGCCAAGCAACAACATCGAACGGAGAGTGTTTCTGAAAAAGAAATTTCTTTATTTTGAAGGCCAATAAAGTTGTTTAAACCATGTGGGAGTGCTTTCACTCACACTCACTACCACCACATTTACACAGCGCTAGACTCACATGTTGATCTTGAAGGCTCACTCTACCTGAGTTGCAGCAAACAGTTTCCCTTGGTATTTGGAAATAACTGTAAACTCTTTGACATCTCTGTCTTCATACCAGGCTACTGGGGTAAGGAAATCCCGGGGATTGGCTAGGCAATTGGCACCTGTCAATCAAATACAGCACAATGAAGAGATAGCATAGGAATCAAAATCTTCCATGTCTTCTTCCATTTTTTTAGTCATCCCTTCCTTCCCACTTTAATCCATGTCTTTGTTACCCCCTCTATCTACAGATCCATCCATTCATTCTTCTATTTCAACATTCCATAAATTAACCCAACCATACTGTCAATTTACTGATTCATCTTTCTTGATTGTCTGTCTGTCTGTCCACCTGTGGTGCAGTCTGTCTGTCCAACCATCCATCCCTCTATCCTTTGTCCATCCATCCTTCTGTCCATCTAACAATCCCTACAAACATTTATACATCAAAACACTCTCTCTCTTTCATTTTCCCATTCTCCTTCTATTCTTTCATCCATCTCTTTCTACCCCTCCCCTTCAATATCTACAAACATCTTTGTGACTACAAGAAGTCATTCTGAGAATAATCTAAATACAGAAATAAAAAAATAAAAAATGGGATTTAAATGGGATTGATTAGTGGTATTTCCAGAGAGTGGCTCTTCATCCACTGAATGCCAATAGTCCTATTCACAGTTCCCTGCGCCATCTTGAAAGGTAGCCATGCCTTTGCATCAAAGTGAGACGAACGGTGAGCTTGCAATGATAGAGACCTTTTTCTAATACCTTGGACAATTATTCACAAAGATAGCCGTGCCGTTGCATCATAGCGAGACGAATGGTGAGCTTGCAATGATAGAGATGTGAATAATTGTCCAAGGTATTAAAAAAAGGTCTCTATCATTGCAAGCTCTCCATTCGTCTCGCTATGATGCAACGGCACGGCTATCTTTCAAGATGGCGCAGGGAACTGTGAAGGGGACTATTGGAGTTTAGAAGTTGATTTTTGCAAAGGAAGAAAATTTCTTCAACCCAGAAAAACCCTTGAAGTATAGACGAGAATAATTACCTATTGGACCCAAGCTTGGTAGTTCAAAATGTCCATCGAAGACCTCCAAGATGTATCCTCTAGAGGGCTGGTCGACATCTATCGAAAATCTTATCCCAAGCTATAAGAAAATATTGAATAAGTGCAGGTCAAAATTCTGACCTTCAGAAAAAAATAAGAGAAAAAATCAAGTACAGAATAGTTTGATTGGCACCTGTCAATCTAGTAATAATTTGAATGTATTTCATACCTGGATGACACAGATTTCATTGGGTTTGACTTGCATCTTTCCAAACTCTGTGGTAACCAGGATGGTCCCTTGTTGTGGAACTGCCAACAAAGTGAAGACAATTAATTTTTGTAAAAAACGTTCGTCATTTTTTTTGCCCAACTTCTGCCCTGATCTAAGTCAAGGCATGGTTAAATCACAGAAAACTTTACTAGCTTGTGAAGCCAAGCACACGAAAAGACCTTTTTCAAGTTCCAAATTACTGCTATGTTGCTTGATTTACAGACTTGTTTACTCAGGCTTATCCTCGTATCAGTGTCTAAATATTCACAAATATCAAAGGTAAAGTAAATAATGTGCACTTTCAACAATACGAACAATTTGAAATTCCACAGACCTTCACTGGAGCATGTGAATATTCCGAACAAAGTTGAGGCTAAGCCTGAGCAACAGAGAACTCGAAACTGGAGTACTGAACCCAAGACTCGAAAGGTGAGAGGTGATTGAACTAGTACCAACACGACCTTGATACCCAAAGTATCAATTCAGTGACTGATAGGGAGTGACAGTTCAGTCATCTGAACTAGATCAGTCTTGATGAAAGTGCGTGATGACCCAACTCACACAATAACTTAATATGAGAGTATAAAGTATAAAAGTATAAGTATAAAATAGTGTAAATACCTATTAAAAGGTCACCATCTGAACTGTAAAAACACCTGTTGAATATCATTAGTAGAATAAGTATTCATTACATCTGCAGGGGCAGTGACAGGAGATTTAGCAGGGGATTGAGGTAAAACTTTGGAATAAAGAGTAATGTAAAATCTAAAGAGAAAGTAATTAAATTTTGTACTGATATTATTGCTGGCTTTCATTCAGCTGATAAAAGTTTTTGAATCTCATTATCTGCTCCAGATGGTGGTCAAACACTGACCACCATGTGCTGTCAACCAGAAAGAATTCTAGTGAAAACTTGTGCTTCAGCTGATGAACATTCCGCACAAGATGAAATTACGTCACCAGTGCAACCCAGCAATAAATCATGCTGCTTTTGTCATTGTTTGCATGGCTACTTATTTTTTCTCATAGTATGGATACTTACTTGTTTGTCATGGACACATTGCAAGTATAAACATGAATAGCAACACCATGCCGACTGCATGGATCACCAGCACCGCAAACAGTTTTAAGGCCCTAAAGTTCAAATAACATGAAAACATTTAAATAATAATACAAATATTAATTGACACTCAGGGTCTTAAAATAAAACCAACATTTAGGATTTTAAAATAACTGTGAAGAAGGTGCTGCCTTTATAATTACATCTCCAAATGGTTAGACCTTCGCGTGGCTCGGATGACCACATTAATGGCCATCCCACCCCTAATTAACTAGAGACGTTAAAAGAGGACCAAAAATTTATCAGTCATCAAGTACTGTCAAGTATTATCCTTTATGAAAAAAATTTATTTATTTTATTTATTTATTGAACACCATCATCACCATCACCACCCCCACCTCCACTTCTAAAAAAAAAGACTTTTGGTTCATATACTTACTTTAACAAAATCCACTGTGCTGCCTTTCTCTGGTAAGTCAAATGGTTTCCAACGCATCTAAGAAGAACACAGACCATGTGTTAGAGCATAATTTATACCAATGGTTAAAGATATTGGTAACAATGATGATTAATATTGATGGAAGCTGGTGCTATGCTGAACCTCCATGATTAACAAAATGTTTTAAGGGTGTTTCTCTCATTACTGTGGTTTCGATATTCTACGAACTCAGACATTACAACAGCTTGTTGTGAAACTGGTTTTATACTGCTGCTAGTCAAGAACATAACATATGAGGTATCGGCTTATTATTTTTGATTGACAGCAGCGAAAAACAAATTTCAGCATGCAGCTCATAACTACCAAGAATATCAAAAACAGCAGTAAATAATGTTATTATTACGATCCGACTACGGAACCGATAGAGATGAATACAGTATGTAAAACTAGATTATTTACTTGGTTTGGATCAGGATCAACTTCCTTCCAATCATTTGTTAAATAGCCCTGTGCAACTGGCTTGAAAGGTTGGTGAACAACTGATGGACGAATCCTATACAACCAGCTACGAACAAAATATCAAAAAAGATGCAGGTTTATTGGGCAGGAATTTTCAATCCAAAAAAAAACACATAAAACCACAAATATCTCTGATTCTCATTATACACCGTGCATGGTTAGATCTATACCTGCGCATATTGTCTTTCCGTGGAGCCGTAAAGGCACTGCCTGATAACTGTTCTGCATACAGACCATATGGACATTTTTGGGGGTTATTCTATTTTTAAAAAATTAGATAAAATTATTTATGAAAATGGGATTTTATGAAATGGGATTTAGGTCAATGGGAATAAAAAATGATATCTCCACAATTCGTCACTCGAACTCTGTTTTTCCTTCTATCTTGGCTTGAAAATAAGAATGTGAGTCAATGATGTACAACATCTAAATTATTGAGTAAGCTGTGCTTCAAAAAAATAATATAATTAAAACAAAATTTTCACGCGAGCAAAAAATTTGCTAACCGCAGATAATATTGTGATATAATCCAATCTAAAATGATTTGAATTGGAAACTTATTTTTACTGCTAACTTTAAAATAACGATGAGACAAGACTAAAGATTAATATGTAAATATTCGAGCTTGTAAGGTGTAAATTCGGCAAAAATTTGATCACAAACCTGGCCTTTTGGCAGCGCTCCTGGTAAAGCTTCTGAAGTAAATTCATTACCAAAACCTGACATATACTGTAAATCAATGATAAAGTCTGTTATTTTTGTGAAAATGTTTAGGAATTATGAAGTTTTTGGTGATATTTTTAAAAGGTATTTCTTTACCTTGAAATCCGCCATCTTGTAGTCGTGGACACGTGTGGGAGTATTATGGGTAAGACTGTGATTGGCTGACTGAACGACACTCCTCCAGGACAACCCTTTTTAGTTATGGATGGATGGGAAATTGGAGAAAAATGAATGGAATTTATTTGAGGAAACATGAAAAATGGGAAATACGAAGGAAAAAAGAAAAATGAAAATGGAAAAAGTGGAAGGGCAAGATAAGAGAAAAATTAAAGAAAAAAATGCAAAGAGAGTAAAGAAAAAAACAGACCTCTTAGCTTGAGCATGTTAATCTTTTTTCCCATTTTCAAATTACGTGTCGTTCCCTAAAGTACCATTCTTTCATTAACAGTTGCACATGAGAAGACACATGAATATGGGTACAACTCAAACAAAGAATATTTAACTGAAATGAAAACGAAAGGAAATAATGAAATAGAAGCAAAAGCAAAGGAAAGGGAAAGGGAAAAAGGAAAGAAAGGGAAAGAAAAGGATGGAAAAAGAAAGGAAGAAAATGAGATAATAAAGTTGTGGAATGGGAAGTGTTTGATTTTCCATATTTTCTCTCATGACTAAACGCCAATATAGTATCCTTCTCAATATATAATGTACATTTTTTATGGGACTACCAATCTATAAATGAATAGACCTCTTCGGCTTAGGCATGTTTTTCCATTTCAGACCACGTGTCATTCCCTAGAGTATCCTTTCTTTGCTTAACGGTTGCGTTTAGTTGCACATGAGAAGACACATGAATATGGATACAATTCAAACAAAGAATATATTTCTCAAGGGAATGACACATGGTCTGAAATGGGAAAACATTAGGCCCAAGCCGATGAGGTCAATTCAAAGGATATCTAATGGACCTCTCCTGACAGTATCCACAGCAGCTATGTAGATTCCCCCCCCAAATGACCTCATATTCATGTGCTTCAGGATGAGGCTATGCTTCACTTGCTAAACAAAATATTTATTCTCCTGGGAGTAAATATAGCACTGTGTGACAAAGACCATTATGCAGTTTTGAGATATGCTATGCACAAAATCAGACACCATAATTTTTTTATTCATACAAAGTTTTCAATCTTACAGTTCCTTCTGTCAAATGGAATAAACTAAATTATAACGTAGATGAAAAATTGGCTTGGTTCATTTGAAACATAGTGGTAATCAGACTCGTTGTTAGGACCTTGAAAGGGTTTTTTTGTCTTTCTACCACTCTTGCCCTTTCTTGAAAAACTAAAATAAAGCTAAACATTATTTTGTACTCCTACAAAGGTGGAGGGGGGGAGTTTTGTTCCAACCATTGAACCACCCCTAGCAACGGGCCTGGTAATGTAATGTAAAGTACATCAAAAAAAGTATCCTAACACATAGAACCTTTGCACTAAATCCTAGACTGGAAGACGTAATGACCTAATTTATAAGGAATGATGTCAAATGTAGTCAAACATTTGGGATTTACACTCATGAGAAAACAATTATGATATCAGTCCATTTGTACAAAAGTTAAGGATTATCTGTATTTAGTAAAAATACACAGGTGATTATAGAAAATCTTGTGCGCAGATTGGTCAAGAAACTCACACTATCACATGATAATCACCTTGAGCAAAAATCCAAAATGGCGGCCAGCCGCTTTGTTGCTGTTACCGGGAAAATCTTTTTTTGTTTTTGTTGAAAGAATCACCTGTGTATTTATACTAAAACAATTATTTTCCTCAGGCTAAGTGCTTATCGGGGAATATTTACCTAGCCGCTCGAAGACTCGCGTATCAGTAAATATTCCCCGATAATCACTTCGCCTCCGGCAAATATTGTTAAATGTCTTAATCAATCTATGATTTGATGCAATAATTTTCCAATTTTCCAGCCGCTTTGTTGCTGTTACCGGAAANATGATTTGATGCAATAATTTTCCAATTTTCCAGCCGCTTTGTTGCTGTTACCGGAAAAAATGTCTTTTATCTTTTTTTTTTTTTTGAAAGAATCACCTGTGTATTTATACTAAAACAATTATTTGCCTCAGGCTAAGTGATTATCAGGGAATATTTACCTTGCCGATCGAAGACTCGCGTCTCAGTAAATATTCCCTGATAATCACTTCGCCTTCGGCGAATAATTGTTAAATGTCTTAATCAATTTATGATTTGATGCAATAATTTTCCAATGACATGTGTATCAGAAATAGTACATATTCTTGTTCACTAAAAACTGCTGTGTTTTATGACTGAAGTCTCATCTGTACAGGTTAAGCTTCGTTCAAGTTCAAATCATTTCCAAATTACTCAACTGTCACGTAAAAAATGTACAAGTTGAATAATACTAATATTTTGACGTCCAACTGATTTTTAATGGTATATATTACTGACTTTTAAACTAGGCTTAACTTTAACAAACTAGTCTATAGTCTTCAAAAACAGTGGTGTGCATTGATTGTGAGACTGTATTCAAAAGCGATATCTGTCTCACAGGAAATATAAACCCATCCCCTGACCCTCACTGAAAAGAGCAAATCAACAAAAGGCAATATTCAATGTCCCATGCTATGTTCGCGCTGTAATCTTGCATTGTATGCTCTTGATACTGTGTTCCATGAGTCCATATATCGATCCATACATAACGCTATACATTTCTGAAACCAACAATCATAAAAATCAGTTACCATGGCTACCAAATTAATTTTTTTTAATGTGTAAGCCAATCAAAGAGCATAGAAAATAAGTGGTGATAACTAGTAGAGTACTAGGGTGGACATAGAAAATAGGTTTGATAAAAACAAGCACTCAGGTTACTACAGGTACGTGACTGTCAAAGTCCATGTGCCACACCACCTCCACAATATTGTGCCTCCCTCTCTTGGGCAATACAATGACAGGCATATTGCATATTTCCTCGAAAGAATCAAACCTACCTGCTCAGAGTTGTCCAGTGATGTTCCTGGTTTGTATATGCATTTCTTGAAACATTTATCAGACATTTTCTATAACAGAAATGAAAAATAAAATAGGTAAGTGGGTAATAGAGTACTGTCAATCAAACATATCATTCCCGTGTACCTTTATGCACCATCCAATGTTAAGCCCAAGGGGGGGGGGGAGGGAGACCCCAGGGGCATTTGACATTTTGAAATTTTCAAATTCCCTGCCCCCTGGACAACTGATGAATGTCAAATTTCCACCCTTAGTACATATTTATTATTGTATTTTCTGCCTTTTTCGAGATCGCAGCCACGAAAATTCCTTACCCTGAGGGGGTTGATGATGTCAATTTCTCGAGGGTAGCCTGCCCCCCTACCCCTGGGCTTAACATTGATAGGTATTGATAGATGCATTATTTGATTGAAGGCAGTTTGTTGCCTATTTACTTATTGTGACGTTTATCTATAATAGACTACTATACTCTATTATTGCAAACATACATTTTAGTTCCAAAAAATCATGTACAGTTTATTGCATAAGCTTGTCGAACAAACTCGCCTGATTTAAGTCACAATTTTACGTTCTGAAATCACTTGGAAATAAATGTTTAAACCAAAAATGATGTCTTAAACAACAGCAGCATTAACGATGATAAACTCGAGGCTCTATTGCTGGGAATTTCTTGATTTGAACGAATTTCTGTCGCTAAAAATTAAGGTTTATCCCACATGGGTTTACTAACTTGTAATAATTCCTGAGCAGCAGCTACAGCGATCTGGCTCTTGACTTGATCCATGAGCTGTGCTCTCTTAGAGCTGTCCAGCATACCAGCTGAACTACTACCCATATCAAAATCAGACATTTTAAAGCTGTTTTTTCTGCAAAAATCTTCAGCAAATTTTGAGATCTGAACACATGGAGTATTAAAGTGAGCCTGCGATGCCTTGAGCTAACCACAGGAAGCCCATAAGTCTTGTTTCTTAACAGTGGATTGGAAAAACGTTAAAACTGGCTTAATCCAAAATATAAGTAGATAGGGCAAACAAGGTGCTACTTTCAAACGTCTGCTAAGATTTTTTTACTTTATTTTTCATCTTGACGATTTTATTGAAGTTTTTAAGCATCGCTATAATACGACACCACAGAAACCTTGAGCTTGGGCTACCTATGGCCGATCAACTAATCCAAGATGGCGGGTCCATCGATAGTCGAGTATTTTACAGGAAGCGAAGGACATCGTTGTGGTTATTGTGGAAGCTCAGATACCAATCGCTCAAACGGTAAATAAATCCATATTAAGCTAAACTTCTGCATTGAGTCTATCAAAAGCGAAAATTTAGGTCTTTATGGACAAAAAATAAAATTGTTGTGCAAAAAATACGCCGCGATTTTTTTTGACGCTTCGTTAAATTTGCTTAGCATTTTTGGTAAATTTTGAGATAAACTTTCAGAAATTCTTTTAATCATATGAGTAATGAGAGAAATATTAGATTATTTAAAAATATTAGGCTTATGAGCTTAATTACGAAAATGAAAAACGAAAGAAATAAATCTACTATATTCTTTTATATTCCCTTTAAATTTAGATAGATAGATAAATAACTTTATTTAACGTCGACATGTACATACAATATGTGAGCCAAAGACTCGTTATAAATATATTCGAGCTGATATAAAATCTAATATAAAAATATATGAAATCGAATATTATGCTACTTTAAATACAAGGTAGATATCTAAGGTATGTATGCAAATAAATAATTTATTCATAGTCAGTAAGTATGAAATAGATATGTTGGATATAAATATCACACTCATCCACCAAGAATGCACACGACTCCCATACAGCCGCCACAAACAAATATAGTAGCTATATGAGAGCCCGGAGGGGTACTCCCCTATATTTGCTATATGGGTACGTGCTGCCAAACAGGGTATAGTTTTCAGCTATTTTACTCTGGTACAGGGTATATGAAATCTAGCTCTCTCCTCTCTGGAACAGGGTATCCATTTTTGCAATACAGGGTATGATTTTCAGCGATCTTGCTCTGGAACAGGGTATGAATTTCAGCGATTTTACTCTTGAACAGGGTCAGGGTTCAGCAGGCTCAGCGGCACATCCCCACCTTAAACGGGCAAGAGTACCCCCCCCCCCCCGGGCTATATGAGAGCTGTGCACACCCATAGTGAATATGTTAAACATTCATGTTCATAATAGATTATTGAGGTGTTCTTGTAAAGAGAATATCTTTTTTGATGATATTAAACTTGATATTGATAAAAAAGAAATGTTGTAAATATCGAGAATATGACTAAATGCAATTTAACTCTAATGTTCGTAAATGTAATACTAGCACAATGTATCACTGGATGTAGGTTATTATTATGGCGCCCGGGGGGTACTCTCATATATGGACTATACGGGGATGATCCGCTGAACAGGGTATGGTTTTTTGAGCTTCTTATCATAAACAGGGTATGTAATTTCACTCAAGTTCCAAGTTCTTCCTGAGTTTCCAGCCATATTCAGGGATTCTACTTTCATATTGACTGAAACTGGTTATTATGGTCGTAAAAAAATGATACGTGAGATGACATGATAATTGAAACAGGAACTCAGTACAATAAATTATAACTTTTGTCATAAACAGGGTCCACAAATTTGAGTTTTTTTTGTCATAAACAGGGTACCCTTTTTAGAATCCCAGCAGAACACCCCTACCCAAATTCTGGCGGGGCACCCCCCGGGTTATGGCACTATTAAATAAGTTCAAAGAGTCAAGATATCTAAGTTCTATAGGAGATAATGAGAAAAACAAGTGTACTGTGATATATAAAAATAATGATTGAATCATATAAGTACATTACACACCCACCACAAATGCACATGGCACCCATACCGCCACCACCCATAGAGAATATGTAGAAGCTATCCGAAATGAATTTTTTTAACGTTTTCAGGTATGTGGGCACATAAGTTAACATGTAAGGATTATCAAGACTTAATTGACAGAGGATGGAGAAGGTAAAGTTTGAGATTATGGATTATAGATCACCATGGTAATATTGTGGACATCATGGTAACACCATTGAACTAGTCACATTGGACTTATTAAACCATTGCTTACTACGGATGTCACCGATCTGGGTTTTCATGCAAGAAAAATATGATTCTCTGCTGACGAACATTAACCTTTTTAGTCTGCATTCCTTTCTTCATGTTTCGACATCCTTTTGATAATTGACACTTACTGACAGGGGGAGGGAAGGGGAGAGGAAGGGAAAGAATGAGAGGGGAGGAATGAGAGGGAAAGGATGAAGGGAACAAATGACAAGGAAAGAATGGAAGGGAAAGAAAGAGAGGGGAAGAATCAGAGGGAAGGAAGAGGGAAAGGGAGAAGAAAAATAAAGGGGATAAGAGAGCAGGAGTTTTCTTGCTATCTATTATATCTTGCAGGTATTTTCTTGCTATTTTTCTTGATTATACATATATATTCTTGTTAAAATCAGAAGTGGCAAATACTGCTATAAGCCCTTGATGAATCAAACGTGCTGTCCTGCTTACACCATAAGGTCAGTTAATGCTTTTCTAAATTTCTCACCTTTAGAGACATATAGCCTTCATCATTTCTTCCCCAAGTATTTCCATAGGTTAATAAAAAATGGGCCTTTCTCTCAATATTTCTTTCAAATAAAAATATTCTTGCTAACTTTAGAATTAGAATTTATAAGAAAAAGTAGTGAAAAATATAACATTTCTTATTCTTTATAAAGAATAAAATATGACTTTTTTCCCCATCTTGTAGATGCAAAGCCCTTGAGTTCAAAGCAACGAAATCACAAAAGAAGGTGCTGAAACACATGACAAAATATTTGACAAGTGACATAAGTAAGTTGGCAAACCATAAACTCCATCCCTTCCCCCCCTGTGGAAGAGGGTTGGATATTTTATGAAACCTCACAATATTTATACCCTCCTCAGAACCTCCCCACCCCTTAGAAATTCTAATCCCCCTCTGTGGGGGAGGTATGGATATTTTCTGGAACTACACAATATATCCTCCTCAGACCCTCCCCACCCCTTGGAACTTCCAATCCCCCT